AGCTTTCTTCACTTATTTATTCCACAATTTCCTGTTTAATCCCCTGTATGCTAAGCACTAGGGATAGGAAACACTAGGACATAGAGCCTGTTCTCAAATAGTAACAGTCAATCTTCATGACTTGTGGCTTCCATATTTGCAAGCAAATTCTCATCGTACTTTTATAGCCATCTGCAGACTAGCATGGCATAGGGATGGGATTTGAGCTGCTTGACACACTGTCCCAGACGAGGTCAAACAAGGCAATGCTCTGCCTTCTTGTTTCAGCTGCCATACTGTTAACAAGTCTCTTTGTCGCAATCTATTTAGTGCCACATTTTCCCTATTTTTGTGCTTTTCATTGGTGATTTCACTATTTTAAATGGCCCCCAAGTATAGTGCTGGAAAGCTCTCTAGTGTTCTAAGCACAAGAAGGCTATGAGGTCCTTATGGAGAAACGGCAACTGCTCAATAAGTTTCCTTCAGGCATGAGTTCAATGTCAATGAACCAATGATTCAGCACTTTCAGAAAAAGAAAGGAAAACCACCGATCTGTATGTGATTCTGCTCTAGAAAATGCTAAAGTAGTAATTAGAATGCCTGATGAAGCTACGGAGAAGTAGCTGAACTTATGAATTCATGAAGTGACAACTGATGTGAAAAACAACAACAATATAGTGGACAGCATTGTGAGGTTAAGAGCCAAGGAGATTTATAGTAACATTATCCAGGGTCAGAAAGCTGTTAAACCCTTCTCAGCTGGTGTTTTATTAAACAGAAATATTGCATGTCTGATTAATTATTTTTAACAAATACACATTAAATTAGGTGTCTTCCAACAGAAATGTACATAAAACAAGTTTATTTATCGATCTACTGGTAAAAATGTCATGACCAGAGGCCCACAGGAACCTAAGCCAGTATTTCCCCTAGGAGCAATGATTCAGTATTTGCTAACTTGATGTTTGCAGCAACTTTATAGAATGTAACTACTACAAATAAGGAGACTTGGCTGTAAATGTAGTATGGGAAAGAGACAGGTAATCAATTGCTCTGCAAAGTGTTCAATACTAAGCCTCCTCAGCAGCATTCAGGGGAATGCCACGGATGTGACTAAGTGACTAAGTTCTACATTTAAATACATTTTTTTCTGCAAAAACTTTTGAAAAAAAAGTTACATTTTTGCTTTTTAAGTTATTTGTGTATGAGCAAATGATTAGCTTATGATTAGCTATGATTTCTTCACAATCATCAGACATACTTGGGAAATCTTGCAAGGGAGAAAATCTAGCCCACAAATAATTTTCAAATGTATTTAAGTTTTATGAGTTTAAAATTTTACAATTAATGAAGTGGATATTGTGTTAATGTTTGGTAGACAATTACATACTTACTCTTGACAATATCAATTTTGCAATTTTTCATTTTATAGCCAATAATATTTTGTTTTGGCTCGACTCATATTTTTTTTTAAAGATTTTATTTATTT